CAATATGGCTGCCGAAGTGTCTGAATCTACACAGAGCGAAAGCTAAAAAATAAAAGCATTACATACGATGAAGCTTAACTAAAACAAACATGAAAGCAATCAGCATTAATTAATCCTAATTAGATACAAAGTTAGAAAGTCAAGAGTGGTTACCAACCTTACTCATTGTGGCCAGTCTCGGTCCGTCATCATGGCGTCTGAGTAAATCTAACAATGAAGCGAATTCCTTTCCTATCACGTGTTACGAGTGTTCCAATCTACGTCATCGTTCACCCTAAAAGAAGAAATTCGCGCATATTGAAATTGCTTACAAATTATAATCTGTCCAAAAATTAATTTTGATCATTTTTGAGGAAATAAAAAGCTTTTTTCGGCATGTATCGATGACGAAACGGGAATTACAAATTTTCGAGCCGTATTTTGCCAAATATTATCAAATTGAATAGATTTATCGGCTTCGAAAGCAGATTGCAGCCAAAAATGCATATCATCGAGTCAAAAGATTAAAAAATTTCAAAACATACGGTTAAAAATAACGGTAAATTTAGCAAAAAAACTCCGAGAAAAAGAGGACAAATGGTGAAAAATGGCGGCCATTATCATCATGAAGAGATGGGAAGCGATGCATTGTGGGTATTTATTTTCAGAATAACACAAGTGAAGAACGCCGTGGTAGGAAATTAAAGCCCCATATACACTGGAGTTGACTATACAACACATGGCAAGCCTATTCATATTCATTAGCTACATCCTTCATATAAGCCATGACAAATTTAAACTCAGAGTTTTAAATGGCCACAACTTTTAACATTACAATCAAACAAACTTTTGACATTAAAATCACACAAATTCACAAATAAAAACTTTATAAAACTACATAAAATATCATTTGGAACAAATTTGAGACGAAAATAAGCCTTATATCTTAAAATAAACAACAGGATTTCCAAACTTTGAACTTACATCAGAACTTTTCTATTTCATATGAGCAACTCACAATGTTGCTACAAAATATACCCCCCAAAAATATGCATGTAAATTGAAAAATCTTGCATTCTACCAGTCCATGTCCCAAGAAACCGCTGCCCCAAAAATCTTAGTTAATTCAATGCAATGGTTGACTAAAATTTAGAGTATAGCCCATGACCCAACCTAACAGCTATGGATCTTAAATTTGACATGCATATCAAGAATAAGATGGAATCCAGTTTTTGAAACCCAGACTACCCCGTTGCAGCTGTGCATCTGTGCATCGTGAGACTAGAAATCCAGGTGACTACTCTGTCCAAGTAATGGTACATATTTGGACTTTGTTTATGGCTAAAAGTAGGCAACAAGGAACCCAGAGAGGCTAAAGGTGGCATTTTCTCCCCACATTTTAAGAACTAATCATGCATAAGCATCCCCCACATTTTTATTGCCAAGGACCCAGAAGAAAGAAATCAATTATTTTTGACCAGGATAACAACTTAGGTTCATGAAGATCCTGTCTTCCAGCAGGTCCTTGATCAACTCTCTTCTTGGCATTGGAAGCGCTACGGACAGCTTTGTCCTTCCACATTTATCCAAATTCACCTTAATCTCAAATTAAACTCAGGTTCACAATTATTTCACTGGCCAAGCTGCACCCATTTAGAAGGGGGATAATTAGTAAAGTAAAGTAATTGGGGGCGTGGCTTATTATGTAAATTACTGAACTATCTATTATCTTTCAAACAGGGTAAATCACTTTGTCTACCTCAATAGCAAAACATTATGTACATGTCAATCAATACAGGCCACGTATTCTCAAAACGATACTAGCGCTAGGATGTCCTAGATTCTTATCTTGTAACATTGTTTCTAAGACATCCTAGGTAGATTCTTATCTTCTAACATTGATTCTAAGACATTCTAGAGCTAAGATCATTTTGAGAATACAGGGCCAGGTTTATAGAAAATGGAAAGAAAAAGAAGTGAAGGATTTTTTACAAATGTAGACCCTGAACCATGGCATGGTAATAGGATAAGGTATTCCTCCCATGGTAGAGAACCCACCTCTTAACAGTTAAATATCTATTAACCCTACACAATCATTCGTTCACTCATGACAAAATATATTGCTCAAGTTTGTTTTTCAATTTTCGGCCACGAATGATCTCAAATTAACCAACTAGAATATATGGTAGACCTGTTAGAAATATTAAAACAGAACCTAAAAAACATGTCGTTACTCAGAGATTCACGCTTTGCGAGACCTGTTATGCATATCGATACTTAAAGGTTGATGAGTTTAAGTTCACACAGATGCCCTATTATTTTTTGGACCAATTATATTTTAGTCTCAGAAATGGTAATTTTTTAGCTAAGCCAATCAGTAACAGTGTTCACAGCTCACCGTTGAAATTTGAGCCTTCAAATCCATGTGTGTCAAGAATTATCCGCGATAGAATGTTAAATGAGATTGCAATTTTCATACTTTTCTAAGACTATTTGTGAGTATTTACATATATTCAAGACTAATATTAACCCTGCAATATGGCCCACCTGTCACTTTAATATATTAAAAGGTGATCAGCACCTGTTCAGCTATCTCATGCATAAGATAATATCATCAACCTGAAATAATAATATACATTACAAGTCTACCATATATTTTATCTAGTTAAATAATATTTTAACAACAGTATTTGTTTTATTAAATCATTCATTGATTTACTTTTTGTCTTGTTTATTTTGTTTAATCAGCAGCTGTATATTTTAAGAATTTTATACCATTTATTGTAGTACTCAGTATAATCTACTAATAAACCATTTTATCTCTTATGTTTTTCTTTATAGTATATGTTCAAATGTTCATAGTTTCCCTATATACTTTTTCATTATATTCTGACAAGAGAATCACTTCAAATTCATTGTACGAAATATGTCAGACACATAATAAATTTGGGACAGAATAGTTCTTGTGACACTAGGGACTAAACCCAAGCCCCGTTTTTTTAAAAAAATCTTAAGATAAAACTTCAAGCAAAGTGTGTGATAAATTACAACAAAAATTATCCTAAAATTTTTAAAGAAACAAGGGGCCGAGTTCCTATTTTAAAAATATATAATACAAAATAAACCAATACAATGAGTATTACCGGTATATAAAAATATATTTAGAATATTCATCAATGACATAATGAAATGACTTAGATTCATGAGACAAAATAAAATATAAACTCTCATATCTCTCATCAAAAAAATATGAAAATATTCATTCAGCAGACAAAAAAAAAACAATTTTCAATTTTTAAATAAACTCAAAACATTTATAAGATTTTTTGTTTTAATCAAGCTCATGTGACCATGCCAGAGAATTTTGAAATTTGAATAATGTCACACAATGATTCGAAGCTTTCAATGTCAGTGCTTCGGTGCACACGACACTATGTTTGGAAACAACACGCACGAACGTATTTCACAACCATTTTGAATCTGTTATTTGATTTAATAAGTCGAATATTAAAAAAGGCTATAATATTTTAACAAAATATCACATTTAAAGCCATTCTAAACCTAAAAATATAATTTGAAGGAATTCCTGAAATATTATCGACTTTTAAAAATTCGACTTTTAAGTCAAAATAGAGATTCAAAATGGCTGTGAACTACGTTCGTGAGTGTTCAATGTAAGAACCATACATAATTTAGTTTAGTTATTTGGTAGAGATAAATATCAAACTGATTGTCTTTAAAAAAAAAACACAGACGAAAAGTCGAGGTACAGTGTCCAGTGCAGGATTGTCAAAAAATAAAGTATAATAATTATGAACTAAAGTTAGGTCTCCTTTTCATTAGACTGTCAAACTGTTTACTGTATTGATCATTCCACACTGAACAACATACTTTGTTTGCACTATAAGGGAATGATTCATAATCATTTCGTTGAACAAACAATTCAATAACTTTTTATAATAAAAAATTTCCATAAAACAGGCCAATGGTTTAATATTTTTGAGACATCTGTCACTTATTCTGGTAACAGTGTTAAAGGCTAAAAAAAGAAATGGATTTTAATTGTCAATATTTCAAAAATTGACTGCAACAGTAAAGCTTAAAGGGATTGTAAAGAGGTTTTTATGTGTATCGGGGACACTGATAGCATCCATTTGATCCGTTCCAATTTTCAGTCAAACATTTGTGGTTCCTGCAATTCCACTTAAACTAACTTATGATGAAGCTACGTATTATCAGATATTTATCAGAAGCTTTTACAATAGTGGCATCATATATATATTGCTTACTTTTTAGTGAATTGCAAGAACCACATGAATCTAACTTAAAATAGGAATGGCGAACAAGATGCTATCAGTGTCCCAAATACACAAAAAAAGTTTAGAAAACATCCATAATACATTCCCTTTAACTGGTACTTCATTATAAATCATGGGTCTTATTTTTGAAAACTTAACTTTAGAAGAATTTAGTCATCTGATTGGTCAATAACTAAAATTAATTTCAAATTTAATTTTATCATCCAATCAAATTACTGTATTTCATAAAAAAGTTAAGTTTTCAAGAATAAGTCCCATGGTAAAAAAATTATGCTTCTGCTCCTGGTAATGTAAATTATGGAATAATATAAAAAAATGTAAAAAAATATTTCAAGTATGGCACACATTCATAAATAACAAACAAATATGGAATCAATAAGTTTGGCAACTTCAAATATATTAGACAATAACCAATGCTTAAGTGGTTCTCTAATTTTCTTATCCTATTTTTATCGTAAAGTATTACAGTTTAAAGACTTGCCTTCAGCTCCATTTTAGCATTTTTAATTGTGACATCAAATTGTGTATCCATTTAACAACTTGCATTTAATTTTGAACAAAAGTATGTTAGATGTCCAAATATCTTTCCTTAACCTAATCAAGACATGTTTACCCTAAAATAGACTCTACTCATACACGCACTCACTGACACTATTCGGATGTTTAAGGATGATCAATGTAAGCACTGGCCAAGACATAATGTTATAAACTACCAACATCATTGTATTTCTTCAAAACGGATGGAAATTCATCTTTATAGAGCACTGGGTCTGCACGAAATTCGATGCTCTTTAATGGCATAGTCTGATAAATTTTAGTAAACATGTTGATACAATCGGAGCGTTCGATCATATGAGTTATATCAGCTGACAACATTTCATTACTAATACATTGAGGACATTTAAATTTCTTACGAGGAGTCACTTTAATAGGTGCCTTACCGGTCACGTTTGCCATCAGGAAGTTCATAGCTATGTCCTCACAATTCATATGTTCGTCCACCAACGCTTTAATATTGCCAGGCATAGCATTGGTATATAAATAACTAAAGTATTTGTGATAAAAGGCAGCACCAGTTAACACCATAGAGATTTCATTGGTCCATTCAGATTCATATTTCCATTTACTAGTGGCGTTATCCCATAAATGTAATCGAGAAGGAAATCCCACAAGTCTATCTGGAAATTCACGCCACACTTGATATCCGAACTCCACTTCATCTGCTGTTAACATCACAATATCGTCATCCAACGCTAGGATACATTCTGTCTCAATTTCATCATACGGCACAAAACGATTGCTGAGTTTATTTTTCTTCGTTGTCACAACCTTAACAGGTTTCCCAATATACGGCCACGATGACATAGGTGGCGCTACTTTATTTTGATTGTTCCACACAACTACTACCTTGGCTAAGCTCGGAGCTCGTGCGACTTGTTTGATGACCTCATATAATGACTCAAGACGATCGTAAGTTAATATCACTGCAGTGAAACCTTGAGATTTCGAAGGTGATAAAGGCAAAAATAATGGATTTTTCACAACATGAGGTTTTGGAATTTCATTCCAATACTCATACGATTTACTGGCGTACGGAAAAACTCGATCGTTGATAATTTGTAATGTTGTCAAGGCGATGCCTTTCATAGTGCTAATATAACGATTGAAATAAAATTTCACTTGTTTTTTCATCTCTGAGATACGAGCCGAGCTGTACGTTTTGATAATTTTTAAGACATCTGTTAGATCGTCCTCTCGAACTTGAACAGCTGCACGAGGCCAGTCTAACACGTCTGAAAATGGAAGCACGTAGCCATCTGCAATGATTACTGGAATACACCCAGCTTTCATTGCATCGTAGAGTGCAGGTTGTGCCAATCTAGCCCCACGTAGCACTAAACAAAATGTAGAATTTTGCAAAACTTGAGGATAATCGTAAATTTTTGAGCCTTTGCATCTTTGTGTGTAGTTCCAAGGTTTAGTTGAATGAGGGCAAGTTTGTAGAAGTAAAAAACTTTGATCAGTTTCCAACTGTTTCAGTTCTGCCATGTATTCTCTATGCAGGCCAAGCTGTGCAGACACTAACAAATATTTTTTATTGTTACTGAATTTATTTTTTGGCAGATGTAAATCTGCAACTAGAGGATTGAATAATGGAATTGGAATGTCAAAAGTATTTCGGTATGACAACGATGAGAATCCTGCACCCGCGACGATGGCATTACCGATATCAGCTTCCAAAACTGAGTGATATTCCGGTGCAGTTCCAGAAATCATATTCACTAATAAATGATTGGCACCATCATTCCAATATGGCAGTTGATTCAAAACACGAGCAATGTTTCGCATATCGTTGTTATTTTGATTTAAAACATCTATAGAAGGAATGAAGATACAAGCTGTTTCCGGGGACGACGTGTAAAATGGACTCTCCATTACAGCTTCTAGAAATTCATCAAATTCTTTTGATCTCATAATAGTCAATTCATTTCCGTTTTCATCCACGTATGATTTGATCGGATAAACATAAACACTAATTTTGGTCTCATCATTGTAGCCACATTGGTACACCTCCAAACATGTATGAAAAGTACAAGTCCTGTCTCTCTCCTTCATTTTGATTAGCTCAGTTGAGGAAATAGTCACTACTTCATTTGTTTCAATATGTCTGGTGTATCTAGGTCGACCTGGCTTGATTTCCATGTCTGAGCCCCGCCAAAACAACGTCAATGAAATCAGAATCATCGAACTCGTGAACACGGCAGTCACAAAAATAAACAGAAGATGAATTGATTTCGATGAAGAGTGCGGTCTCTTACGTGTTATTTGCTTTTTCATCTTGAAATTTTCCTTTGTGCTATTTTACAGACCTGACATAAATTAAGCTAGCTGAAATGGCTGGGATACAAATACTTGGCAGCTGGCCAAAATGTCAACAGACTTTCAGTGGGCAGGTTTCATCAAAAAATGTCAGTTTTCCAAATGCTGAAACCATATTTACCAAAAATTCGAGGTCCATTTCATACCTTGTTGGTCCAGAAATCAAAGGTCATTATTTTGGGCACAAATGATCGAAGACTGACCCATCAAAACCCTTTATCCTTCAACACATAAATTAACATTTCCTCAGTCCACCATCTTGATATAGTCGTGACTAACCAGGCTGGTAGAAAGTGAGAGACTAGTTAATAGAGACTAAGATAACGATTCGGTCCATGTAGCTGATGATTTATATAAGATCTACATGAATAGTTAGCTCGCACTTCACCGTTTGCAGCGAGATAAATCGCATAAAGTTCAATTGTCAATTTTATCTGGAAAAATAGCCAGTTTAGTCAGAATTTGAAGATGGCATCTCTTCCACCAGCAATCAGAAACCCAGAAGTCAAATATACTCAGGTAATAAATATTAAGGTTATTTTGTCAATTGATGTTTTTGTCTTTTCTAAAAGTAACCTTACTTTAGGTTTTTTTCATAAACTATTGTTGAATGACCTTTCCTTTGGCTTTGTCCGCATGACAGTCCAAAAGTTCAAAGTATATTTTTACCAGTTAGTCATGATCTTTATTACTTACTTCATAGAGCCTGTTTAAATTTTACTTAGTCTTATTAGGCCTAACCAATAATTAGATATTTTCACTGTTAAAATAGTTCTCAATACATCAATTGTATAGCCATATAGAAATACCACTGTTAAAATAGTGCTCAATACATCAATTGTAGAGCGATATAGAAATACCACTGTTAAAATAGAGCTCAATACATCAATTGTAGAGCGATATAGAAATACCACTGTTAAAATAGTGCTCAATATATCAATTGTAGAGCTATATAGAAATATCACTGTTAAAATAGTGCTCAATATATCAATTGTAGAGCGATATAGATATACCACTGTTAAAATAGTGCTCAATATATCAATTGTAGAGTAATATAGAAATACCACTGTTAAAATAGTGCTCAATATATCAATTGTAGAGCTATATAGAAATATCACTGTTAAAATAGTGCTCAATATATCAATTGTAGAGTAATATAGAAATACCACTGTTAAAATAGTGCTCAATATATCAACTGTAGAGTAATATAGATATACCACTGTTAAAATAGTGATAAATACATCAATTGTAGAGTGATATAGATATACCACTGTTAAAATAGTGCTCAATACATCAATTTTCTGAGCAAAGCAAAAAGTTTTTAGAATTTTTTTAAATATATAAGAATTGGAATACCAGCCTCAAAATAGTATTATTAGTTTTAGAATGTTTTTGTGTTGATGGAAATATAATATTCAATAAGTTTACTTTGAAAAGAAACACATTTCTCTCCTAGAAATTTCAACTCCAAAAGTCACTATTTGGCTGAAAATTGTCCTCTGTAAAAACAAATTGTAAGGACATAATGTGAGCTCTTAGTTTCATATTTATCAACACAAAGACATTCTAAGACTAACAGTTTTAGGCCCATTGAGATGCTAACAGTAGGCCTACTATTTTGAGGCTGCTATTCCAATTCTATAAAAATGATGGGAAAATTCAAAAAACCTTTTACTTTGCTCAGACTTCAGACCCAGGATCCGATGTAGTTATTGGCTAGAAGCTTTAATCGACTGGTTTGTCAGTTGGCATATTCATCAATTAATTAAATTTGAATTGTGAATTGATTTTTAATAATAAATGAATAAATAAATAAAGGAACAAAGGAAATATATGTTCATACATTATAAGTTAATAATTAGATGATTTAATTAAGGAAATTTATAATAGCCGCTTTATTTATGAGATTTTTTGTACTTACCAGTTTTTTACTAGCAGAATCATTCAGCATGGGAGCTATAAGTGACGATGGTCTTTAAAGAGATTGTAAAAAGGTTTTCTCAATTTTTTATGTGTATCGGGGACACTGATAGCATCAATTTGCACCATTCCAATTTTTAATCAGAAAGCTAACATTCCTGCAATCCACTAAAGTGTTTGATGACACTAATCGCAAAACATGCTTTATAACATAGTTTTGGTGGATTTGCAGGAACCACAGACGTGATTGAAAATAGGAATGGTGCAAATTGATTCTATCTGTCCCATAACACATACAAAATTTAGAAAACCTCTTTACAATCACTTTTAAAGACTAAACCTGTGATAGAAAAACTGACTACTGCAATAGGACGACTAAATTTCCCAGCAAGTTTAGCAAAATGAGGATATAAAATTTCATGTGTTTTACAGAAGACCAAAGGGTTTACTTTTTCATCATTTGCCAGAGCATGTGTCAAACACTTTCAAACCTCAATCACATTATCACAGTCTTGGTTCCGTGACAGACATTTCTGCTAACAGAGCTATGTTTGATTAGACGACAGCTATGGCTCATCATCTGGTACTGATGTTGACGGACCGACTCATTTCTAAATCTACTAGTTTGCTACATTAATAAATATTCATTGTGTTTAGAAAGCAAACTATGCATTATTCTTGGATCAAGCAGGCATGCCACTGTTACTCATGTAAATTTTTGAAAACAAGCACGCTTTAGAGTTGTTTCATTTCTTGAAGATCGTTTGTTATTTAAAAAAGGTATGATATCAAATGAATTATTTTCATCACTAATAAATTGTGTTTGAAAAAAGCAAGAAGAGCTTTCAGTAAAGCAATACTGAATGTATGTTTAAATAGACCTATTAACTCTGTTTTTACAAACTACAGATTAACTTGACTGGGTCTTTTGTTAACATCGTGCAAACTCAAAGTTTCAACATGTTTCAGGTTCTGTATTGATATTTCTAATTTGAAAATTATTCAATTTTTTCAGATATTTATTAATAATGAGTATGTGAACTCTGTCAGTGGCAAAACTTTCGAAACTATTAACCCAACCAATAAACAGAAAATTATTGATATACAAGAGGGAGATAAGGTGAGTGTATACTGAACAGGAATTTGAATATTTTTTTACCAACTGATAAAGCTCACTTTCAGCTCTCTGTATAGTCATCTAAATAGAGCTCACTTTTAGCTTTCAGTATAGTCGTCTAATTATTTACTATACCAGCTGACAGAGCTCAATTTCAGCTCTCTGTATAGTCATCTAAATAGAGCTCACTTTTAGCTTTCAGTATAGTCGTCTAAATATTTACTATACCAGCTGACAGAGCTCAATTTCAGCTCTCTGTATAGTCGTCTAAATACTTACTTTACCAGCTGATAGAGCTCAATTACAGCTATCTGTAGAGTCGTCTAAATAGAGCTCACTTTCAGCTTTCAGTAATTGTCTAAATATTTTCTTTACCAGCTGATAGGGCTTGTATTGAAGATTATGCATTGCAGAAAGCTTCCACACAATGTCAAGCTATTAAGAACTTATACCTTGACTGTAATACTCACCTTTCTTGGAATGCAAAAATTTGATTGGATAGTACACCAGAAAATTTAGCCAATTGTTTCTTATTGGTTTTGCTGGCTGAATATCCAATCGCTTTGCTTTTACAAACTTCTGTCAGACAAGAATGGCTATTATGGTCCATGTTTAAGACAAAGCAGAATAGGATAGTGTACTTTTACATTCAATATGATTTTGGGCAGTGATCGGTAAAGATTTAGCATAACTGAGGCAAATGACACCTCACTTTTGAAATAATTTCCAAATTTTTCAAATCTGCCCAGAAACCTTTTTGCCTCAATTCAACTGTTGGACTACAATTTTCAGGTCCTCTAAAATACATGATGATTTTCTCTGTGCAAAGACTGCTAAACCTCCCAGGGTTCTCTCCCTTTGGGCACTTAATACCGTACACCATTGTCGCTCCAGATAACTTGTCCTTCAGAACAAACCTGTCTGAATACAGGCCTGCTAATCAAATGTCCTGGTTATGTCATAACCATTATGAGTCAGCAAGTTTAGGATTAAAGTTTCACATGAGATAATGATAATAATATTAATAGCAATGTCACTGTGAACCTGTGGAATGTTTTTATGATATTTCAAACGAAATGTAAACATGATCAGACGGTTATCTGTTATCTGTTATCAACTGTACAAATTATAATATAGATATTGACCTTATTGGTGATTTACACTTTACTGTAGGATATAACACTCCTTTTGATATATTCTTAGTAAGATATGAAATGAAATGAAATGAATGGAGTTTTACATCTTACTTTTCTGCACCATGTGGGCTAATGAAGACGGGGAACGCCATGCAGTGTGCAATAAGGGAAATTTTGCCAGGACAACGTATTAGCCTGCTCTTTTTTGATTTCCAATTGTCGAGGGATCTTTTACATGCACAGCCTGTAACACACGGGGCCTCGGTTTATTGTCCTATGCAAAAAACTATACGCTTTTTCCATGTCAGCCCCTCATACCTACATCACTGACAGGGGTGTAAGATGTGTTAAAATCAGATACAACACTTGTTCTAGTATACATGTATATATATTACTATGGAACATGTACAGTCATCATGGTGGCCACCAGGGTTCAAGTTAGATTGAAAAATTTGATTAGTAATTTATCACACCAAATTTTAGTTTCAGTTAATCAAGTTAAATTTTGATTCGAATAATGCTGTAGCAATTAAAAATATTCCAGTAGCAAATCTTCAAGTTTGAAATATATAATTTGATTTGATTTGCAGATCTTCGTTATATAATTTCATTTTGACTACTCATAGGAAATATTGGATGGTAAAAGGGGTCATTTTGAATCTCATACTGCAAGATGCGCGACCGCTTTAATTGACCCTGTGGCTACACATGAAGTCACACTTCAACATATTACAGCCCTGGACAGATTGCATGCATGTGTAGGCTACTAAATATTCATGACATACTTAATATTCATCACATACTTAATATTCATCACATACTTAATATTGGTGACGCCATTTTTAAATGCTCACATCAAATCTGGAGCGTATATTATCTTGCCCAAGACCATCCGTCAGTTCGTCAACAATTACTAGTAAACACTCTAGCTAGAAGGCACTGACTGATTTTGAAGAAATTTATTGTGAATGTTTATTATTACCCACTGATGAACCCTACTGAAAATCAGAAAATCAAGAACTATTATGAGTTATTGACCTTAATTTTGAAAACGCATTCAATTTTTAGCTACTAAACACTTAAAGACACGATCTATGCCAGATTTTGACAAAACTATATTATTCAGTATCACCCCAAAAAATTCAAAAGAAGTGTATGATTGATGGTTGAATATTTCATACTGGTAATTGTTACTGTACTGCCGAATATTTTTATTTAACATCAAAGCTGCTAGTGGACGTATATTACCTTGCCTGGCAAGCTATCTTATTGTTTCATTCAGGAGAATGATGGGAGCACAAAGACATTAGATTTCAATTAAAATAATTAAGCAAAAAAGGTATAATAGAACTCCATTTGATTGTTTCAGTAGGATGAGAGATTTCAGTAGGTACATAGACTTGAGTGGAATTGCAAGAACCATAGGCGTTTTATTATATCCCCTATACATATAACATTTTTAGAACCTCTATATAATACCTTTAAATCATTATAGTTGAGTGTATGTTTAACATTTATATGTTTTATCTCAAAGTTCAGTTTATGTTGACCTATTTATATCAGTATTGTTTGTTTTGTCAGGGTTATCTAATAATTTATACACAATATCATCACACAGTTCAAATGTACAGTAACTATTACTGATCGTTTAATCAATGACATGGCAAGATTTTAGGTGCAGAATTGTGATAGACACAGATAATAATATAGCAGTAAAAAAGTGAAGCCTCATAGAAGAATGTCACAAGAGGCAGTGGTGCAGCCAGGAAATTTATAGGAGGTGGCATATAAGCACCAGGAAATTTTAAGAAGAATGCAAACGCCATTTACAGTGCTCTGAGACACGAGAGTGACCCACCCCCTTTGATGAGGGGCAATTAAATTAAATTACAATTGTAATCTAACAAGATTTCAATCTCTTCCCATTCTAAAAATATCATTATTTTAATCAAATTGGTCGTGTAAGACCCTTTTTTCTGAAAATAGTTTCAAATTTAATCCCACGAATTTCATTTCATAGTCCAATAAGGTCTAGAACAGTAAGACATAAAACTCCATTTCATTTCATTAGTCCAATAAGATACAGAACAGTAGGACATAAAACTCCATTTCATTTCATTAGTCCAATAAGATACAGAACAGTAGGATATAAAACTCCATTTCATTTCATTAGACCAATAAGATACAGAACAGTAGAATATAAAAATCCATTTCATTTCATTAGTCCAATAAGATACAGAACAATAGGACTTAAAATTCCCTTTCATCTCTGTCTTTCTAATTATTTATACAGGCTGATATTGATAATGCAGTTAAAGCTGCCCAAGAAGCTTTCAAACTTGGATCACCATGGAGAACAATGGATGCCAGTAAACGTGGAAGACTTCTGTACAAGCTAGCAGACCTGATTGAACGAGACTTGGCAATTTTAGGGGTATGTTTTCATTCTTATTTCAGAGATGTGATGTGTATATGTTTTTTTATCAGCTGATAGAACTCAATTTCAGCTATCTGTATAGTCATCTAAATATTTACTTTACCAGCTGATAGAGCTCAATTCCAGCTATCTGTATAGTTATCTAAAAAATATTTGTTTTACCAGCTGATAGAGCTCAATTTCAGCTATCTGTATAGTTATCTGAAAAATATTTATTTTACCAGCTGATAGAGCTCAATTTCAGCTATCTGTATAGTCATCTAAATATTTCCTTTACCAGCTGATAGAGCTCAATTTCAGCTATCTGTTCGATTTCATCTATCTGTATAGTCCTCTGAATATTTACTTTACCAGCATATAGAGCTCAATATCAGCTATCTGTATAGCCATCTAAATATTTACTTTACCTGCTGATTGATCTCCATTTCAGCTATCTGTACAGCCATCTGCTTTATCAGCTGATAAAGCTCTATTCCAGTTAGCTGTATAATTGTGTACATCAGCTGATAGAGCTTAATTTAAGCTAACCTCATAGTTATATATTATATAGAGCTTGCTTGTATAGCTGTCGATATATTAGCTTTATCAGCTGATAGAGCTCAATTTCAACTATTTTAGGTATTAATTGTTTTTTTAATTAACAGAGCTTAGAGACGATAGATAATGGTAAACCATATAAAAATGCGTGTGGTGATGTTTTATTTGCTATCGACGTCATCAGATATTATGCTGGCTGGGCTGACAAAATCTGCGGCAAAACCATTCCAATCAGTAAGTTACAGTTTATGCCAATACTTCAATATCCAGATGGTCCTATCCAATTCCTCAGATGAGATATATATCTGATGTTATTTCTGATAGGTGTTGAACCAAATCCATTTTGAGTGGCTAGTTTTTGATACCAGTGGTGGAGCTACAGGAGGGGCAGCCCCGAAAGCATGTTTTTCGGGCAAAAATCTCATAACTAGGTTAAAGATTCGGGCAATCTCAGATATCTAGCCCCCCTTGCCCCCTCTCGGACGTAAACCTGGCTCCGCCACTGTTTGATACATCAGTACAGGTCAGGAAAAGTTATCTTTTAGAAAACCCTTTATCTTGTGATTGGTGTTAAAAAATTGGAGACATTTTAAAAGCATATAAATTTCATGCTCCAAATTCAAAAGTTGAGTGTAACCATTTTCTGATTTTATTTTTTTAGATGGCGATTTTTTCTGTTATACTCGACATGAGCCAGTTGGAGTTTGTGGACAGATTATTCCAGTGAGTATATCGCAGACACCCATCTTTTAGATTTCTCCACCAAGGGCTGACTTCACTCAAATTCAGTTAGGGTGGTGGGAAGAAGAACTAGTTACTTTTAAAAGATGGGCATTGTGGAAATTTGGTGAAAGTGGATGTACAAACAAGATATAATTGATATTACGAAAGCACAGACTGAGGAGAAAATTAGGCAACAATAATTACTGTTAGGTGTAGAAAAAAGTGGACAATTTGTATATTGACTGGTTTAGCTTACAGAATATTTCAAAATTAGAGCCCGTTCACAGCATATTCTAAAATACATATGGACAAAAACTTATGTGAAAGGGAGGGCTCTAATTTGGAAACACCCAATATATGGGAGTCAAATCAGCCAATAGAATGATGCAAGTCCTCTTAGATAAAGCTGTTGAAAATGGACCATGTCATACAGAATGGGATGAGGGAAATAACAGGACATTCTGTTGTGATTTGAAACTGTTGCCTCATCATTAAAGGGATTGTGAAGAGTTTCTCTAAATTTGCGCAATTCCACTTTATAATCAGACGTCTGTAGCAATTCTACTTAAACTAAGGGATTTATGACATGTAAATTGATGCTATCGGTATCCCCGGTATGCATAAAAAATTTAGAAAACATCTTTACAATCCCTTTAAAGCATCACATAAGACAAAGTTTTGCCATCCTCAAGCGATGTAAATTCATTGATCTATTCTGTCCTTGGTTTTTCAGTGGAACTATCCATTTAACATGTTCATATTGAAAATAGCTCCAGCTCTGTCAGCAGGTTGTGTATGTGTAGTAAAACCAGCCGAACAAACACCATTGACAGCTCTTTACGCTGGCTCTCTAATAAAGGAGGTAAGTGTTCTTGCAGTAATGTTATTGCATAATGAAACTGAATTAACACAGACAACCAGAACACTAAATTCACTAAAGTTAGGTTTTGGTTTTGAACTGTGTTTTATTCCTAAGTGACTTACACAATATTAATTTATATCAGGGTGATATACTAGAATATTCAAAATTATGAATACTTATGAGTTGTGCCAAGTGCCAAGAACTGTCAAGATTTCTCAAGGAAAATTTAAAACAAGTGACATCAACATTAAAGATCTGACACGATGGTCTGGATCAGAAGCAAAGTCCTATTTAAAGCTATGTAAAAACTTTGGCAATTATGTACAACAAAATTTTGCACACCAATTCCGTTTGAATCTCTAATCAGCTTGTGAAGTAAAATCTCAGGCCAATGTATCCGATTGCTTGATATTATTGTAGGCATACAAACCAATTTTGAAGTTTTGATATTTTATAGGCTGGATTTCCCCCTGGGGTAGTGAATATTGTACCTGGGTACGGCCCTACAGCTGGAGCTGCTCTGACACATCATCTGGGTGTCAATAAAATAGCTTTTACTGGTTCTACAGAGGTAGGTTTTATCTGATCTGTGGGAGAGAGAGAATAGGAGAAATAAGTGTGGGGCTGATAGGGGGTGAGGGATGGGGGTGGAGGGTATTGACTCATGCTAATCATCTGAGAATATTATTTTACTGGATCTTCAGAGGTAGGTCATTCTTTATTTTAAAACAAGTGGTCTGTGGGAGAGAGAGAATAGGAGAAATAAGTGTGGGGCTGATAGGGGGTGAGGGATGGGGGTGGAGGGTATGGACTCATGCTAATCATCTGAGAATATTATTTTAGTTTATTATTTTTTTTAAAACTAGTGTTCTGTGGTAGAGAGGGATGGGGGAATGGCCCCACAGTTTGTGCTACCGTAACTCATTATGTGGGTGTTTCAAACGGTCGTGGTGGGTTCTTTATTTTGGTCGACATGTGAAAGTTTGGTTGACTCAGCTGTAAATGGACATGTATCATGCAGGAAAGATCAATGCCAAGATGTTTGACCAAGGACCAGCTGTTAGCATCGATCCTTGAGAACCTAAGTGGTTATTCTTCTAAAACGGTTGTTTCCATTTGATTATTTTGTTTTTCTAAGTAATATTTTATTCACTAAATTATGAAAAGGATTGAGGAGCAGGCTGTGGCCTATATATAACCCCTCCCTCTTTGTTCCTTGAGCACTAATACCAAGTTTATTATTCTAATCTAGATTGGACAGATAATTATGCAGGCTTCTGGAGTTTCTAATCTGAAAAGAACAACATTAGAATTGGGAGGAAAATCACCAAACATCATTCTTTCTGATGTCCATTGTAAGTAAAACTTTTTTTTTTTGACTAACTAACTGAGCATAAGTAAAGATTGTATAAGCTTGTAGTTTTGGGAATTAAACCAAATTTTGTTAAGTAAGGTTCTGAAAGCTCGACTGTAGATAATTTGGCAGAATTTACAAAAATATTTTTGACCCTTTTTTATAATTGGAAGTTTTAAGCTGTTAAACTTGAGTTTATTTTTCAGTGGATTCTGCTGTATTTTGGGCTCACGCTGCCTGTATGGAGAATATGGGACAATGTTGTGTAGCTGGAACCAGAACATTCGTACATGAATCTATTTATGATGAATTTGTCAAGAAAAGTGTACAACTTGCTAATAGTCGAGTTGTCGGAGATCCTTTTGATGAAAAAACACAGAATGGTCCACAGGTTATTTTGCTATTATTGCACCATTTTCCTTTTTTGAGATAGGGTTAGGAGTATATTGTGAAATGTTTATATATCATAGAAGAGTAAGAAATGATGCTAATGATAAATTAAGTTTGACAGTGAGACTGATATTACAGAATGAAGTTCCGAAAATTTTTCTCCAATTTTATCCCCTCGATTATCAGTACATGTACATAAAAAACTAGAAATGAATTCACTATAATAATAAGATAAGATATACTTAGAAAAAAAATCTTTGTCATTTCTCCTGTTTTCATGAAGCTAGCTTACACACATCCTGTAATCTTTATGTTTGTAGATTGATGCTGAACAGTATAATAAAATAATGGAACTAATAGAGAGCGGGAAGAAACAGGGTGCGAAACTAGAATGTGGGGGACAAATTCATGGTGATAAGGGGTACTATATTCAACCCACTGTTTTCTCAAACGTTTCTGACGATATGAGAATTGCCAAGGAAGAGGTTTGTAATATTTATACGTAGTTCATCTCCACAATGTCAAGCTATTACAAACTTCATCTTCACAATGTCAAGCTATTACAAACTTAATCTTCACAATGTCAAGCTATTACAAACTTCATCTTCACAATGTCAAGCTATTACAAACTTCATCTTCACAATGTCAAGCCATTACCAACTTCATCTTCACAATGTCAAGCTATAACAAACTTCATCTTCACAATGTCAAGCTATTACAAACTTCATTTTCACAATGTCAAGCTATTACAAACTTCATTTTCACAATGTCAAGCTATTACAAACTTCATCTTCAAAATGTCAAGCTATTACAAACTCCAAAAGCCACCTTTCTTATATTTTACGACCTTAAGTTATACCTGACTTATACCTTGACACCACTGGCCACATTTCTTGTGTCACAGAAGTTTGTACATGCGATTTGATTGGATTGAATTGTATGCTACCAAATACAGCTAATCGGAGTCCTTGACAAAAGTCTGAAAACACTTGACCATAAATCCCTTGACCTGTGATATCAGACCTTTTGAACTTGCAGATTTAATTCATTCTCTCAATGTTCAGTTGTTTATTTTTTTAGATATTTGGCCCAGTTCAGCAGATATTTAAATTTAAAGATATTGATGAGGTTATTAAGAGAGCCAATGATACTCATTATGGACTGGGGGCAGCTGTTTTTACCAAGGATATTAATAAAGCTTTGACCATTGCTAATAGTATCCAAGCTGGTACTGTTTGGTAAGTTATTTTAATATTATTAGCTATGTGAACTCTCTGAAGGAATGCTTAATTCATAAGTTGACAAACCTAAAATAAGCATTATTAGCTGTATGACTAACTCTTGAACAAAAATCATTTTTATCTTAATGGACTGTAAAGGATGCCAATTCTAAAATATTAATACCAAATAAACATATTTAGCTATGTGGACTCTCTGAAAGGTATGTCCAGTTGACAAACCAAAATACCAAATAAACATTATTAGCTATGTGAACTTCCTGAAAGGGATTTTACTCCGTCGCACAACTGTATATTCCAAAGCTTTATTTCTTTTATTCATTCCTCTCTTTTCATCTCTTTCTCTATCTTTCCCTCCAAGTAATACCAGCTAAAATATCGACATGTATTATTTTCAGGATTAACTGCTATTTAGCTGTCACAGCTCAGGCTCCATTTGGTGGATACAAAATGTCAGGAATTGGCAGGGAATTGTAAGTAAATCTTGGATAGAAATTTATCTAGCAAAAGATACACAAAACACTAATTTTAGGTTTGAAATTCTCTTTTGCCACAGCAAGTTAAAAGTTGAAAACCAGGAGCCACATTAGCTCAGTGAGTTAGACACTTGCTCGCTAACCTGATGATCCCCGTCTGGGTCAGATTTTTGTGATGTAGGATGGAGGTTACTGACATGGAAAGAGTGTCTAGTTGTTCGGATGGAACAATACACTGAGGCCTTGTGTGCTACAGGCTGTGCAAGTTTAAGATCCCTTGACTGTTGGAGTGAGCTATTGGCAAAATTTGCCTCAAAGTACACTGCATGGTGTTACCTGTCCTCATTAGCCCTATAATGTGCAGAAAAGTAGGACGCAAAACTCCATTAATTTCATTTTGACTATTTGTGTTGATTTGCTTTAATTTCAGTGGTGAATATGGTCTATCACAATATCAAGAAGTCAAAAATGTAAGTCTAATTTCCCATGCCCACATTTTGTCCTTCCATTCTTTTGTCTGTGAAGTGTAAATCTTCAGAACAAGTTATTTCCCTTGTTAAATATTGTCTATCTGTAAAATGGGTACAGATAATCCACTAAAGATCAATGCCATGAGGTTTGAGGTATGGCTGGCATTGACTAGTAGATAAGAAGTTTGTCCACGGACCAGCTGGTAGAAAGGATCCTCATGAACCTAATCTAGTCTAGTATTCTAAAGAATATATTTTATATTTTCAGGTGGTTGTCAAATTAGACCAAAAGAATTCTTAAATTCTTCATAGTTACTGGTTAATGATGATTTTAATGAGGCCTTGAAAACTTTACTATAATTTTAATCATGTTTTATGGGAAATTCTATATTTTGATATGCTATGGGAACGGGGCCTTGGAATTTTCATTATAGTTTTAAATTGTGTTTCAATGGATGATATATTAATATGACATATTAACACTCTCTTAACCAATGGAAAATTATATATTTTTATACAGAATCGGAACTGTTAGATTTCTCTACACAACTGAAATTTAACTGAGAAATACTTTACATAAAAAAATGCAAAATAAACATTATTTGATAAGATATAAACCCCAATGCCAAAATAACAGATGTTGTCTCTCAGGAGTTGACACCTAGTTGCAAGGCTGGATATAAGTTGACAGACACCGAAAAACACCTCTAATCTAACAAATGAGCTCTTCCAATCAATAGTTCACTAAAAAGTAGGGGGATGTCAAATAGATGATTGGTACATGATATCCAGCCTTGCCTAATTGATAAACTAGTTTATGTATTACCCAAAATGTGTGTATATTTGATTCACACCATTGGCAACTTCAGGGCTTTCTGTTCTGCATTATGGGCATGATTGATTGTCATCTTCACAATGTCTGGCTATTCTGATATTGTCTAATACCTTGACAACATAAGGCACTTTTCTTGTTTCACAGAGATTTGTTAATGCAGAGATTTGATTTGATTGTACAATCGGGAATAAGGAGAGTGTCTATTGATGTCAAGGTATTAGATGTAGCTCGTAATACCTTGATATTGTGAAGAGGGTTTGTAGGTAATAAGATTTTATAAATATTATAAGGGATTCATTATAAATAGTTTGTTAAGAGTTAGATTGTTATGTTTAAGTTTTGATTTAACAAAAAATTACTTGAAAATAAAGTTTTAAAATCAAATGAAATTATTATGTATGTAGTTTTCCGTGGTCAAAATGGTTACAAATTTTTGCAGAACTGACAACGTCCTGGCCTAGGTTTGCACCACCATTTTATTTTTGAAAAATTTGTTTTTGCCCTAAAACGTGTCAGAATGCACCAAATCAATTAAAATTTTCGAACATTTTCTTTGGAGATCCCAAAGTGGTAAGACTTTAAATTCTGCTGTTTTCTTTAATCTTAGAACGCTTGTGGACAAAGCGATAAGCATATCCACTGCATCGCATCGAATATGCCTATTTAGGCGATAATTTTTAACCCACCAATCTACCCCCTTCCCCTGGGCTATAAAAATGGAAAATTCATTCTTTCACTTCAAAGCCGCGTTAGATATACTCTCCGGCTTCGCACATTAGTAAATTTATCTCTAAAATCCGCAACGAGGTGCATCTTACGGAGAGTATTATCGTACAAAGCCTGTAGCACACGAGAGCTTCGGTTTATTAATAAATGAAATAACAAAGTATTTACTAGTAATACAATCAGCCATTAACCAATAGATTTCTTCCAACACAAAATTCTAGGTCAATATTTCTCAAGGCTGGTAGAATAACAGTGGAAGTAGGCCTACACTATACACGAGCTAGCTAGCATGGACATTGTGATAAAAACAAACAAGTTTTAGATACCTCTAATATAATATATTTTATAAAACCACTGTCAATGAAAAGATAGCGTAGCCTATATATACCACAGCATCAGGATTATCTAGACGTGAGTCTTGTATTTCACAGAAGTCCTTTGTTACTTAACTGTTTACAATTTAAAACATATGCACGGCCACCCCACTGGAGTTGAATTACTGACATTTAAGCTCAGCTATTTCAATATTATTTTGGATAAAATTCTGTGTAATGTGTTTGTGCTGTGACTTGTAAGATTGTGCAACCGATTCTGGTGTGATGTGACAACCGTTCTTTGACAGGACATCTCTTTTGTTTAGCTGAGTGAATTATTCGTCTTCTACCAAGAAGATGGCTTTTCCACCGGCGCCTTTCGAGCCTATTACCAAACCAGAAGTGAAATTTACAAAGGTAGGTCTCTAGTAGAATGAATACTGTAGTGTTTTCATGTCATCCAATGACTCCATTTCATTTCATTAGGCCAAAAAGGTTTAGAAAGTAGGCCATACAACTATATTTCATTCCATTAGTCCATTAGGGTACAGAACAGTAAGGTGTAAACTGCATTTCATTTCATTAGTTCAATAAAATTCCAGTTACGAAACGTCTGCCTCTATTCTATTATTTAAAAATGTGTCGGCTGGTGTAGAGACAGAAAAACTAGGCCATTTTGTACCTTTAACACCATGAAAAACGATGCCAAATTTTGACTCATTTCTCTTTGGAGGAATCCACTACTATCCAAGTTTTACTCTCGATTTTGCCATTCTTTGGAGATATTTATTAACGGATTCGTCTCGCTTTTACGGATTTTTATTCATCTTTTCAGCTTTTTATCAACAACGAGTTTGTCGATGCTACCAGTGGTGAAACGTTTGATGTCGTGAATCCTTCTACAGAGGAGAAAATAGCACAGGTTTCTGAAGCAGAACAAGTAGGACATCACCTTTTTTTTTTATCTTTAAGGGATTGTCTAGATATGTGTATCAGGGACACTGATATCATCAATTTGCAACTGTGACCCAATTCCTTGAAATGTAAATTAGAATCGATACAAAACCTATGTTCGTCCAATTTTTTTGATACATAAACATCACGGAAGTGCCATACGACATTTCATAGCTAAGCAATAGACGATGCCTTAAATACACCACCTATTCCAGCCATCATTTGTCAATTCTTATGTTGTGTGCATAACTGTATTACCATGTACAACATTGTTCTTCTATTAAGGTTGATGTTGATAAAGCAGTAGAGGCAGCACGTGCAGCTTTTGAATTTGGATCAGAATGGCAGAAGATGGATGCAAGTGCACGCGGAAGACTTCTCTACAAGCTAGCCGATCTGATGGAGAGAGATATTGTATATTTAGCAGTACGTAGATATCAATTTATTTATAAATATATTTGTAGGCTTGATAGTCCTTTGGAGTCTGACTATGAACACTGAAACAGTAAGATGTTCTCTGCTGGTGCCTCTTATAATACGTAAGATCATGAAACCGGCTCCAAGTTGTCATCTGTGTCAACTGATGTGGGTTACTATGGTAGTAGAGTTCATCAATATTCAGATTTATTCTATATTATCATGATTTATATACGATTGGTTCTAATCGACCGTTCTAAACAGTATTGATTTTCATTAGACTGACTGGCATGCCCCGGAAATTAATCCTTAGATAGAATTTACTAACTTGACTAATATCTTCAAGACAAATATAACTCTCATGAATATATTAAATGAGTTGAAGGGATTCAATAGTTTAATATTTGCTTCACGAGGCCATTTTAAATCCAAATCCGGATTCTCTGCAATGATACGAAATTCAGGAGTTTTGACTTTCGTATCCTAATTAAAAGTAGATTTTTTTCTAAAATTTTATTTAAATTGAAACTATCGGCTTTTCTAAGGCGTTATTAACATTTTCACATGCATATTATTGATATCATGACGTCATCAGTCATCTTCACCAGTTATACATACAAATGATATTTACGTGACTATATCTCTTTAAGGTATACCTTCACCTTGGCAAGGATGATTTGCACAAAAAACAAACAAAAAACCCCCCGAAATTGACAAGGACTAGAGTACTTAAAGTGATCTTAATATCATTTATTTGGCGGTGAGGAGCAACAAGCATTGCAATATTAAATTTCACAAGCCATATTACAAATCCGTTGCAATATTTACAAACCCATCCCATCGACTAGTAAGAAATTTGAGCTCTAAATGATCAATGCTCTAAATGATCAAAACTCTAAATAAGCAATGCTCTAAATGATCAAAACTCTAAATAAGCAATGCTCTAAATGATCAAAACTCTAAACAAGCAATGCTCTAAATGATCAATGCTCTCAATGATCAAAACTCTAAATGGTCAAAACTCTAAATAAGCAATGCTCTAAATGATCAAAACTCTAAATAAGCAATGCTTTAAATGATCCAAACTCTAAATAAGCAATGCTCTAAATGATCAATGCTCTAAATGATCAAAACTCTAAATGGTCAAAACTCTAAATAAGCAATGCTCTAAATGATCAAAACTCTAAATAAGCAATGCTCTAAATGATCAATGCTCTAAATGATCAATACTCTAAATAAGCAATGCTCTAAATGATCAATACTCTAAATAAGCAATGCTCTAAATGATCAAAACTCTAATAATAAGCCTCTAAATGAGAAATACTCCAAGGGATGGGCAAAACTGTAAGTGATCTAAACTCTAAATGATCAAAACTCTAAATGATAAATTCTCTAAATGATCAAAACTCTAAATAACAAATGCTAAATGATCAATTCTCTAAATGATCTAAAACTGTAAATGATCAAAAACTCTAAATGATCATAGCTCTAAATGACCAAAACTCTAAATGACCAAAACTCTAAATGATCATAACTCTAAATGATCAAAACTCTAAATGGTCAATACTCTAAATGATCAAAAACTCTGAATGATCAGAACTCTAAATGACCAAAACTCTAAATGACCAAAACTCTAAATGATCAGAACTCTGAATGATCAAGTCTCTAAAGAATTAGTTTTATTATTGTTGTAGAGTTTAGAAACGTTGGATAATGGTAAAACATTTAAAGAGTCGGTGTATGTTGATTGTTTTGGTGGGATCAATGTGGTGAGATATTATGCCGGTTGGGCTGATAAAATACAGGGAACAACTGTGCCAATAGGTAAGCTTGGGGTAAGGAAAGGAGGAGGGTGGGGGTTGTCTGGGGTAAGTGTAATTCAAAAGGTGCCTACAGGTAACCTTGGGATAAGGAGATGGCTCCGGGTTGGGCCTGGTAAGAGGTCAGGCAGCAGTGTCAAATTTTCAGACAAAGCCTGACATCTTTCTGGTCCCATAATGTATAGAAGTTATACATATTTATCAGATGATGGGAATGATCTACGACAGCTGTTTAATTCTATTTTCAACGATTATGTTGTTTTCATTTGTGGGCAAAATATGTACATTTTAAATGGACCTGTTACTATATTTGATTTTATTTTCATCTGTTGATATTAAATTTCAGATGGTAATTATTTCTGTTATACCAGACGGGAACCTGTCGGTGTTTGTGGTCAGATTATACCGGTAAATATTCTATGTAAACTTGTAGTTCTATAAAGGTATTGGCCGCCATAGCTTCCCGAAATAAATGGGGCTGGTTTTTGGGTTTTTCAACTCGGCAAGTTCCACTACTAGCGCTCTGCATGAAGGATTCAGTTTTACGGAAACTACCGAGGATTGCCGAATGGATGTTTACCTAGTAATTTAATTGATTGAATGTATGTATATTTTCAGTGGAATTTCCCCCTGCCAATGATGGTGTGGAAGATTGCCCCAGCTCTGGCTTGTGGGTGTACTGTTGTTATTAAACCATCCGAGCTAACACCTCTTACAGCTTTGTATTTAGGTTCATTAATAAAAGAGGTAAGATATCTATGAGCTCTGTATTCTCCAAGAAATTAAAGTGACCGAGGCCATATTATTGGATTATTGCTTATAACATCAGCAATATTTCAAGTGGCGATTAGGGGCGGAACCATGCCAAAGAAGCCTAATATTTTAGGAAAACCCTCCAACACACTTGAACGTTGGTCGCTCTGTGGTATCACTATTTAACGAGATATGGGTGTTTGTTAATATAGAAGTATGAACTAAAAAAAAAAAACAGTATGGACGTACATTTCCACCCACTATTACGATTGATTCCAGGCTGGGTTTCCACCAGGTGTAGTGAATATTGTACCAGGAACAGGCAGTAAGGCGGGGGCAGCTATAGCAAACCATCCAGATATTGATAAAGTGGCTTTTACTGGATCTACACAGGTCATTTTCTTATTCTTTTATCTTATCCCAGAGCAACAACTTAAGTGACAAGCTTTGTTATTTGAAGCCTTAAGGATGGGCTTATATCGACCAATCAGAATCTGAGGGCAAATATTCCTTTATAGCAAGGGTATATGACGTTTCATCACATCTGATATAAAAGTCTTACACCATTGCTAAAGGAACATGGAGGGCTTCTCGGTTAAGTGATCAATTGCTGGGCGGCCTGTTTACCATCTAGCAAAATCTAGATCTGGTTCCGACCTAACCTGAGCGGTCAGAATGTGTTTAGGCTACACAGCTCATTTCCACTGCAATGCTGTGAATAGTTAATCAGCTGGAGACTTAGGCCATATGCAGCGCTCGTACTTTACCTAAACTTAGACTTATGTCGAACTTCAGGTATGCACCGGTCGATCTTTACGAAAGTTGACTATCAAATGTAGAAAATTAAAGCCTTTATCCAAAGTTCAACTTTAGTCAAGGTAAGAGCGCTGCATAATAATTTGTTATTAATCTAAGACTGCTTCTTAAAAGCGCTCTGTATGTCTCAACTGTAACCTTGTTTATTTATAGATTGGGAAACTCATAATGAGAACAGCCGCCGATACCAATCTAAAGAGAATAACATTGGAACTTGGCGGGAAAAATCCTATCGTAGTTTTTGACGACGTGGAAAATAGTAAGTGATATGCTTCATTCAGTGAGTCTTGTCGCACTTTTGCAAGAAAAGAAAAATGTGAACCCCACAATATTAAAATGCCATTTTGCACGAAATATAAGTTGTTAGCCATACTTTGCATGAAACGCAGGAAATTTACATTGTAGGCACTGCTTTTGCAAGAGACGATTGTTGAGAGTGCCTTTATTGCAAGAAACACACGATGAGAGTGCCAATTTTGTGAGCAAAAGCCCTAATTCTGCAAGAAATGCAAGGAAGATACGTTGTCTTTTTTGCTAGATACACAGATAGATTATAGTGCCTCCTTTTGCAAGAAAATTTTCTGTTTCATTTGTAGTTGATGAAGCTGTGGTTGCCTCCCACGAGGGTTTGTTCTTCAATGCTGGTCAATGCTGTGCTGCTGGATCTAGAACGTACGTTCATGAAAATATCTATGACGAATTCGTTAAAAAATCGGCAGAAAGAGCCAAAAAGAAACCAGTTGGTGATCCATTCGACGGTAAAAATGACATGGGACCTCAGGTTAGTCTTCCACATTATTCTTCTTGTATTCTCTATCTAAACAGGTCGTTCTGAGTGGAAACTGTCTTTGAATCGAGAAAGGTTCAGTATAGATTGTGTATCCATGTTACAGTTTATGGGGACGAATTAAAACATAAGATATAAGATGAGAGAGACCATCATTTCTGTGACAACAATACTGCTACTGGTACATGTTCTGTTACATTTGAAAAGAACAAACGATTGATATACTTCCTCATATGAATAATTCCTTTCCTGCTACCAATGTATTGCCAAACTGTAATTGTTGATGTTAGCTCTTGTTTTGCGCGGAATCTTTAACACTTTGGGTTGTCTTTATTCTGATACGGATATTGAAATGACGATTTATAATAAGGTGATAACATTCACTTGAATGAAATGAAAAGAAGTTCGTTTATCTAGGAGGACTACACAAATGCTTATATTTGTTTATTTGACCTTTTATAGTATAATTTCATTCTACTATTCTACCCCAAAGTAGTAGGGGTTTAAATTTTAGTTTATTAATGAGATGTTCTTTTCTACTTATATCACAGTTTATCAAGAGTTTCACCCTTCCATTATTCAGTATTCAATTATATAATTCTCATATTCACATTGTTTAGTTCCCTAGTGCCAAATAAAGATTTTGTTTTGTTATAAATAGGTGGATGAGAAACAGTTTAACAAGGTATTAGAGTTAATTGAAAGTGGAGTAAAACAGGGAGCTAAGTTAGAATGTGGCGGTAAACGACATGGTGATAAAGGATATTTTATTCAACCTACTGTTTTCTCCAATGTATCTGAAGATATGAGAATCTGTCGAGAAGAGGTATTACATTTATTTTCTTGGCTGTGGTAGCTGAAATTGATTCTTCACAATTGAATAATCTCGATAATAGATTTTTTAGGACACATCAGAACATCACCAACTCGGACAATTGACAAGAAAAACTACCATTGTGCCAAACACAATCTGCTGGTTAATCACGACTAAATCCAATTTTTAAACTACGAGCGCTTAGATCGAATAAAATCTAGCGATTATTATGATGCCATTTGCTAGTACCGGTAGTCGTTGAAAACCCGGATGCTCTCCGATACTGCTACCCGTAAGTTCAGTTCAACCCAAACCCCCCACCCCACATCCATCTTCTGCCCCCTTCACAACGGCTCTTTCACATTATACAATTTTACCATCGTTTTTCAGATATTTGGTCCAGTCCAACAGATCTGTAAGTTCAAAACGATGGACGAGGTTGTGAAGAAATCGAATGATACAGTTTATGGTCTGGTAGCAGGGGTCTTCACTGGTAGTATGGACAGAGCCTTAGAATATACCAGACGAGTTAAAGCTGGAACAGTATGGTGAGACATATTTTAGTATTCAAAGACAGTAGCCTTTTCTAAGAGGGGCAAGAAGGACAAGGCGTCCCAAAAATTAGGATGGTCCGCCTTTACACCTTCTCCTTCTCAATCATTGAGTTCTCCAATGCATAATCCCAAAGTATTTGCTTAAAGAAAAAGCCCATGAAAGTAAGAGAGATTTCTTACAAGAACAACTTCCCGGGAATTCTGACTGCCAGCTTAGTCTTTGGGCCGGGCAAACCTCTTGTGACTGATGTCATGACGGTCATCTCTTTCTAAATCGACAGTAGGCATTGACACAGGGTTACGGTAATTTTTAAAATAATACGGCAGGTTAAGGGTTATGGATTCCAATGTTTTGTTTCAGGATCAATTGTTTTAACTGGTTAACAACTCAGACTCCGTATGGTGGATTTAAACAATCTGGTTTAGGTCGAGAACTGTAAGTACATCATCATCATAAAGATATACAGCTTTTTTGTTTTTAATATTGAAGTTAATATAAGTTGTGTTTCTGATATGCTATAGAAGGAGAGTTTAAGTACTTGATCATAATATATGGAATTTATACAGCAACTTTGTAGTTTTAAATCTATGTAGTCTATTAGATGACTCCCTGTGGAAATTTGATATATTTATGTTGTTTTTTTCAGTGGGGACGAAGCCTTAAAGAACTATACAGAAGTAAAAACAGTAAGTGGTTTTCAAATCTAATTAAAAAATTCAAATCAATAATTAGGTTCAATTGGAAATAAAGAATCAATAAGTTAACAAATGAATTAAGAACGCAGATTTACTTGTGGCTATCCTGGATCATTCTCGGTTGAAATTAAGCTGCAAAAAACGGCCAGGGGTTTTTCTGTCCAGTGCACTACCCCTGCAATCTATTTCAATCAGACGTTTAATCGTTATCTTATTGTTATTTTAGGTTACAATCAAGACATCGGGAAAGTTTTAAGTGTTTTTGTTTATAATAATGAGAAATCATCGATTTATAACAAGACAAGTGGAATAATCAAGGCGTTTACTTTCTCGCCATTTTTACTTTTGTTCAATGAAATAGAATATTAAACCCTACTTTCTGCTCTTGATTGCGGTAACGAATACGGACATCTGCACGCACTGTTTGATTATAACAATTTTGCCAAGAAAGTGTTCTTTTTGATTTCTATCTTTCGAGAAATCTTTATGCTGCACAGCCTTGGCCACTCGCAAAATAAAGATTACCTTAAATTAGGTGTTCGTAGTGTGGATCTTTAAACAGACGATATTTTGTACTGTATTGTATGTGATTTTGTATTATTAAGTATATTGTCGATATATTGTCCTACAGGAAACTTGAAATGGTAAAAGATAGCTATGTTGTATATTGTGTTATTTTGTATTAATGTTATGTACCTTGTGATATATCTATGTATGATTATATTTTGTCTTGTTGACCATGTTATCCATATACAGAGGCAGAGAGCTCCTTTGATTGAAGAGACAGGGGTCAGGGGTGTCGCACGAAGCAGACAATGCTTACTCTTATCGAAACACCTGATAGTACTCTGGAGGTGTCCACTAGTATACTAACTACTCCTGAATTTGTCATGCTTTGGACGAGACTTTTGATCGACGGAATTGTCTTGCTTGTAGGATTTTTATTTCAAACATCTACTACAGAACGTGAGTTGAGTTCATACAACCAATAGAACGTTTAGACTTTGTTTAACCGACCAACCACCCGGAAGCTCCACGTGAAAGTCTCTAATTCTAAAGTAAGAAAATCTAGAAAGGAAAACTCAAAATTAAATATACATTTTTTCGACATTACACAAGTCACTAACAAAGAAGGAAAATGGAGTTTTACACCCTACTCCTTACGATACACTAGAAAAAAATAGACATAAACTCTGAGAGAGAGGGTCACAAAATACTAGAATTGCGTAGGTTTTAGGGTTGTAAGTCTGGACCTAATAATCTTCTACAACACAAGACATAAAAACAGGCGACTAAAGCCGCGAATAGGCGATGTCCGGTGCGGTGCACGGTGCGGGATTATCGATACAGTAGAAAATAAAAGAAGAGTACCCACGAGGTACGGGTCCGGACACGGTGCGAACACGATTGGCATCTGCTATTTTCTACTGTATTGATAATCCAGCACCGGAGACCGCACTGGACAACGTCTATTCACACCTTAAGTCCAATAAGAACTGTTTCCTTGAAAAGAGGACGTTTCCCAGCCTATGTGTGCGAAGGGGGAACTTACACCTTCTATTTGTATCTTTCAACCAAAAATAATAGGAATCAGGCAAAAAAGAAGCTTTGAGTTTCCCCAATATACATACAAAGACTAGAAAACCTCTTTGAACCCTATTCATAGAGTCATTAAAAACTTATTTGAGATATAATTGAAATAACCTGGCCACGTATTCTCGAAACGATCTTAGCACTAGAATGTCCTAGATTCTTATATTCTAACATTGATTCTAGGACATCCTAGTGCTAAGAACGTTTTGAGAATTATAATATCAAAATCAAGCTTCAGGTTGTATTAGAGTTATCACAATAAACGTTTGGCACATAAATAAATAGAAATAAATAAGTAAGTACAAAAAAGTCAAAAACAAAAATAGTCTTTAAACAACATGAGAAGATTCTTTCATGGACGGTTGACGTAATAACACAACAAAATTAAAAAAACACAAGCATTACATAAAGATGTTTTTTTTATAAAAATGTTTTCAAAATGGAGAGTTGAGTAATAATTTGATTGTATAAGGTATTTTCTTAAATTAGAGTTGACCGTGAAACAGTGGATAAAAGATTTTGTCAGACTTTGCTCAACAATATGAAAGTTGCGTATTAAACGCTATGCGCAGTATACTCACAATTATACAGTATCTGTTGAATGTCTATATGCCTTATCTATAGGATCATATTATACCTAGGGAATGGAAGGAAGGAAGAGGGGTACAAGAGGTGGATAAGGGATGAGAATTTTCGGAAAAATCAAAAGACAATTATGGTGGGACATCTATCTTGTGTCTTTTAACTCATCTCTGATGAATCTCTTTCAAACAATGATCGTAGAATTTCAACAGGTCGTTTTTCAGCCTCCTCTAGATAGGCTCCATCTTGCATCTCATGTCTGTTATAGAGTAAGGAAGAGAAACCATGTTCACTGAGACCCAGATCACTCTGTAACATCGCAGTCCAGTTCAAATTAAAGTTCATTATAAATTCCTGCAAGGAAAGATATTTTTTATAGTAGAGATATACATTTGCTATTGCAGGGCATCTCTAATGTCTAAGAGTCACAAGGATCTATTGAACATCGAAGTATTCTCTCAGAGGATAGGCTATACCACATTCTTCTAGAGCATTAGAAGCTTTCCATGACTTTATGTCCAAATGATCTATTTGTTGGTTATTACTAAGAATGGTAGTCATAGTTGCCTATCGTGGTGTGTGTTGGACATCTCAGTAACCTAGAACAAGTCAGCTTTCCTCCGATGTAAATCAGAGATTAAAGCCAAGAGGTTTGCCAAAAACCATTCACATAGGGCTGTTGAGTTGACAGAACTAAATAAAAAGTTAACATTGTAGTCTTTTAGAGATAGATGATTAAGTCTCAATTGAATTAAAAGATGTCATATTGTGTCCCAAATTTCTAAAATAAATTAACTCACCTGTTGAAAATCTGTATCTCCAATCTGACTGAACTCAGTCTGGGGAACAAACTTTTTCTCTTTGATTGGGGTCAAATCTAAATCAAATTTGATAGTTTTAGCCGCTGGCTTGTCTTTCATTGATAGTTTGATATCTAACTGTTCTTCTATCCAGGTCCAGTTCCTTTTTATCAGGTTGTGGATTATCTCTAGATGGTGGTAACCTGAGGGGAAAAAAAATAGTGTCATATTGTGGTCTGAAATAATTCTTTCTTAACAAGAGTTACTTCCCTTCTAGTCAGCAAGAGCTGCCTTGCTGTCATGTGACAAGTAAATATTCAATTGTGTTATTTGTTTGATAATCTCTAGGTACAGTGCTCTTGTGATGGGTCATGATTGATGATAGAATTTAGTTCACTATTATGATATACTACTCGGTTTATTTGTACACAATGTTTCAACAATTTACATTGTCATCATCAGTTTATATGGTATACTATTCCTGAGTTTATTTGTTCACAACGTTTCAACAATTTACATTGTCATCATCAGTTTATATGGTATACTACTCCTGAGTTTTATTGTACACAATGTTTCAACAATTTACATTGTCATCATCAGTTTATATGGTATAGTGCTCCTGAGTTTTATTGTACACAACGTTTCAACAATTTACATTGTCAACATTATTTTATATAGTATACTACTTCTGAGTTTTATTGTACACAATGTTTCAACAATTTACATTGTCATCATCAGATGAAATGAGGAAGTTTGAACTCACCATCAATATCATTAAGTATGGCGGCTGCAGCAGTGGTAAAAATATGGTCAGCAAACTGACTGGTGGCTCCCTCTAGTATATCAGTATCTGGTACAGTAAATAATCTACAAATAACAGTACATATTATTTAACATTGTATTAGAGGGTAAGAGTCGACAACAGACCGATTCTTAAAAGCACTGGCACAGGCATCAGAATTGTTCTCACTGACTGCTAAGTGGTCAAAGTGGTAGACAAAACATTTTTATTTAAAATAATCTTGCTTGAATGATAAAATCATTTTCTTCTATATTTCTATGGATTATAAATAAAACCCATTTTCTTCTGTAAATCAAAGCATAAAGTCACAGCCATATTATACAGTCTTTCTGTCGAGGACTCTTAATTGGGTACAAGCAAAGCGAATCTTAAAAATCCTGACTGTCAGCTGTTTTTTGATCAAACGTCTTGTGACATGTCCTTTCTTTTTTTTTATCTGTACCGTGGATTAAGAAGAAAGATGACATAAGCCATATTATACAGTCTTTCTGTTGAGGGCTCTGATTGGGTACAAGCAAAGCGAATCATATCACATCTTTGCATGATACGAGTACGTGCTTTATGATGTCAAGGTATTAGAAGGAGTGTGTAATAGATTGACAATGTGATGATGGATTAAAACTTACTCGTTAGACAAATGAACTGCTATCAGCTGTATTTTACCAGTTAACCATTCCTTATTAGCTTTAACAAACTGTGATGCCATTTTAGGTGTACTAATTGATGACTTGGCTACAAAATAAATAATTTAACGTCAAACTCTTTACATGAGAACTTTTGCCTTGAAAATTGTTGACTGACTCAAAATATAATAGTAGCACTCCCAGTGGACTGACACATGTAATAAATTTCATCATCAACATTTTTTGATGGAATTTTGTTTACTTTCAAACATTTTTGGCTGACACTTTAAGAGTGATTTAAGATTTGGATTTATAAAATGTTAGGTTTAAATTGTTTTATGTTGCTTCACTCGCCATCTTGTAATATCTTTAAATCCTATATGTATTAGGTATTCAGTGTTATGGCAGGTACTCATCAATAGAGTCATTACGATTGGACATCCAGTCCCCTGCTTATGCCATGGGGAACACATTTGAAAATGAAATTAAATGAATGTAGTTTTATGGATACAGATACAGGTGAATATGCAGGTGAATATGCAGGTGACATAGGACAACTTTATAAACCCTCTTGAGAACCTACCTCTACCAAAGATTAGTATACTATAAATACAATCTGCCAACACTGTAAGTAATTTGTGGGTCTCTTCTGGCACCTCCTGGCCAACCATTGTTTCTATATACTTGGCACTGAGAAGTTTCTCTCGAATACATCGTCCTATTATCTGTCAAGGTTAAAAAAAAAACAACTTCAATTTGACATATATTTAACACTCTTAAAAACCTATGAGTACTTGTTTAATAGACTTAAAGAGAGGAAAAGATTATCAATCAGGGAAAAATATATAATTAACATAAATTCTAAGAAATAAGTACAGTATTTTTTGCCTTGACAATTTGGCATATATTCAATATTCTTAGACTCTGTATTCAGTGAGATAATACCAAATCAACAGTCCTTGAACAGTCAAAATTTATCATAAGTATGAAAATAAGTGACAGGGTATGCTTACTCTTCTAGACACCTGATACCACTTTTCATTATGAAATACTTATTCATTTATGATTGATATACTTCCTCATATGAATAGTTCATTAGCTGCTACCAATGTATTGCCAAACAGTTAATTTGTATTTCAGGTTTTGTTTTGCCGTTCTGATTGTTAGTTCTTGGTTTTTTTAATGAGTTACTTACGATGATACCAGCACAGTTGTGAGGTGTTTTAAGATTGTTATGGTGACAAGCCTCCTGTAGAATATTAAACGTCACACTAACAGACGTGTTTAAAACGTGGATCTTCTCGCTCAGTTCTGTTACTACGATCTTTAACGCTGAATCTATTATATACCTCTCTCCTGTATAATATATCATCAAGTTGGAATTTTACACTTTAATATCCCTAATTTTTCAACCTTATCACCTACTTTTCCATAATTTTATTGATCATTATGAAACTACATATCATTCCATTTCTTTCAATGAAAAGAAAGAAAAAAAAAGAAAAAAAGAAAGAAGGAAAAAACATATTTTCAATGGATCATAACTCGGTTTTAAGAGGATACTGTCTGCAAGCTGGAACCCCTAAAATCACAGCCATTCCCAAACCCAAAACCTATGCCACTGGCCCCTAGAGTATAGGGCCAACCCAAACCCCTCCTATGTTTGAAGACGTTAACTTGGTACCACTCAAGTATAGGCTTCTCTCACTACAAACCTTTTTTAGCAGAAGTTGAATCATTATCAAATTTATTAGGAGGACAGCCACAGGGTAGTTCCTGTATTTCTGGTATTAAACAGCCCTTGCCTGTTACTAGTGATGGTAGATTCAGAATGTAGATTATTAATGGCTCTAAAACACTGAAATTACAAGGAAAGGAAAGTAAAATCATTTTTTTTGTTTTGTTGGTCATACTTTGAAAAAATGAAGACAAGACAAGGAAAATAAAATATTACATATTGAGGATGCCAATGAAATGAAATTGAGTTTTACATCCTATGTTGTTGCACTTTATTGATATTTTTTAGCATGAATTTCAGAATTGACGAGAAGATTAATGTGTAAATGAACTGAGTTTGAGTTTAACCTTTTTATGCAGTACCTATTGGGTTAATGATTAGGGGCAATGCATTGCTATGAAACAGCATTAGCCTAATATGCAACAATGGCCTTAATAATAAATCAATAAATTGAACTGAATGGAGAACTTACCTATCAATGTAGGGAGACAGGAGATCAAACAAGGCAGACATCCAGATTGGAGGCTAAAAATAAGATGTTATAAACATTAGTTCAACTAACCATTCACTTAATGAAGCATAAACTATATATTTCAATCGAGTGAAAATTTTAGCAAGAGAATGTCAAAATTTACTTGTTATATTTTGAAGTATCTATCTAATAAAAAGTTTTATTTCTCACCTCACATTCAAGTGTTGAAAGTTTCTTGGCGTTTAATACATCCCAATCTTCACATCTGAATTATAATAATTCATATTTGAATCAACAGTTACAATCAAAGAAAATATGATATGGAGAGGACTGTAGCATCTCCTATCAATATTTTTACTTGTAAACATGTATGACTCTAGTTGTCAACAGTATTTCATGGTCAATCTTTAAATCATCTACTGCAGATTCTAAATCTCATGTCTTCAGGTTTCATCAAATCAGCTCAAGGAAATTGACTACTGAGGCAGACGTCTATAACTAGGCATCCCTTTCAGAGAGTCCACATTGCTTATGTTCTTTTTGTACTTAAGGTTTATCTAGTCAACATCCCTTTCAGAGAGTCCATGTAGCTAATAATGTTTATTTGGTATTTAGGTTATCAACTTTGCATTGCTTTCAGAGAGTCCACATAGCTAATAATGTTTATTTGGTATTTAGGTTATCAACTTCGCATTGCTTTCAGAGAGTCCACATAGCTAATAATGTCTATATTATTTACCTATCTATGACTGGCATGAGAACTTTTGCCACACCGTCAGTAAAATGTGTACACTGGGATAAAACTGTTATGACAGCGGTAAATATTTCACGACTGTCTGACTTCTCTTTCTTATCATTGGTCATTGTTTCAGTCTCAAGGGAAGCAACTCTTGTTAACAACATGATTGGTAGTGTGTAGTCTTTCATTATCAATGCCTGAAAAAGAGGGGATCAAATGTTTTAAAGTCCAAAACATAGTCCAAGTCTAGATATTACCTCAATTATAGGTGATTATGGATTTTTGGCTTTGAATTTCAATCATTGTTTAATTAACCATGTCCCAACGATTACTTGAATCAAAGTGAGACAGAATTCCCTCATTGCACACTGCATGTTATTGTCTGTCTTAATTAGCATAATCAGATGCAGAAAGGATTTGGAAGGTTGAACAACATGTACTATGCACTGAACAATATTTTGCAAGCTTAAAATATTTCCATTACCAGTTGATTTGTAAAGATAACATAGCAGGATTCAAGCTTAGGATTAGACTATTATATCATTTAAGGTCAAGAAAGAAAAAAAAACTCACTTGTAGCAGTGTACTGGGCTCCCACAATGGTTGATTTAATAATAATTTAGTTTGTAAATAAACAGCGTTCGTAGTCTGCATGTCGTCATAGCTACAATTAGTTAAATATTCAACAATTAGATTCATTCACACAACAAATTCACTAGTTATCATTGGAAATTCAAGTTCATGTATTAAGTATTGTGTGTTATAGCAGATACTCATCTATAGAAGCACTGGTCTAGGTCAAGATTTTGACACCTTATTTCGAAAAAGCAGTCGAACTTGTTGCAAACAAGTTTTAAAAGAATAGTTGAGCGATTTATTTCTGCTCCTTTGGGTGTGATTCAAAGCATACACAAGTAGTCTATTTATTTGTAGGTAGAATGAATAGCTATTAAATGGTAAAATGGAAGAAGAGGGAGGGGGGTATTTAAAGATTATAAAGAAACATACTGTTTTTGAGAAGGTAAGTAGAGTGATGGTTGAATCCAGTGTAACCATAGTGTATTGGAACCACTATAAGACAGAGATCCTGGCAGAGTATCAGGCTGGCTATCTCGTCTTTTACCGTACCCTCTTTTAAATATTCTGAAAATAAAACGGAATTTTAAATCAATACATTTGAGTTGTATGATTGGCCTGACTGAAATAACAGACTCAAAAGAAATTAATGGAGTTTTACGTCCTACTTTACACAGCCTGTAACACACAGGACATCAGTTTTTTGTCCCATCTGACTAACTTGATGCTTTTTCCATGTCAGCCCCTCTTACCTGCATCACTGACAGGGGGAAGCCGGGTTGAAAAATGCGAAGGTATCATCTCGACCTATGCCCGGATTGAACCCTGGACGTTGACGGTGAGCATATATATAATGACCCAAACTTATATCTAATTCATATTGATAAGACTGGTAATACAACCTACCTATAGACTTGATCAATAGGTGAAGTAATAACAGCGATACAAGCCAGTAAAGTAGAACACAGGTTATGTATATTATAATGAGGGATATCACAATGGCCAGGGTCTAGATACTGAGACATGGATTTACAAACTTGGAATAAAAACTCAGATGTACACAACAACACTGCTGTTAAATCATATCTAAAATTAAATTAACATCCATCTTAATAATTCTTATTTGGGGTCATGTTTTATCAGTAAATATTAACCAACAAGAACTCACTAACTCTTGTTTTATTGTTTCAAGGGGTTGATTTAGTGCTTTTCTGAACATTCTATGTGTATCAGGAACACTGATATAGCAGACGTCTTTGGTTCATGGAATTCCACTTAAACTTAGCGTTTTATTACGTTTCTGTGTCTTTTGCAATGATCTTTAGATATTTTGTGCAGCTTTTGCGATAGTGATGTCATACAATCCCTTTGAGTGAGCCACATACAAAAACATAGCTAGAATAACTGTCCCCAATATGTACAGACTGTAGATTCTATATCAATAACGGTTATTAACAGATGAACGTTGGCATATTAAAATCAAAGATAAAACATATTTACCTGAATTGTTTGACTCTTCTATAACTAGGTTTGACTCGAACATATCGGAGAGTCAACATCTGAAGTGACTCCTGAAGAAGAGAAATGAAATTGAGTTTTACCTCCTACTTTTCTACGCGAGTTTGGGCTAATGAAGGTGAGCAATGCCATGATGTGTACAATAAGGAGAATTTTCTTGTTTGAATTTTAACTTTAGAGTGATCTTTCAACTTTTTCTGTCAGCCCCTCTGACCTACATCACTGACAGGGTGAACCTTGATAAAACTTTTCAAGGTATCAAAGGGAAGTGACAAAAGCCTATATTTTTTTAAATTCTAGCTGAGGGATGTTCAATGTGCAAAGCCTGTTGCACACAGGGCCTCAGTTTATTGACCCATACGAACCACTAGACACCCTTTCAACATGCTTCACTGACAGGGGGAAACTGGATTGAAAATTAGAAGCTATTATCTGGACTTACCTGTAGAATAGAGCCGAATATATTCTGAGCCAGTTTAGGAGGACAGATAGACCACAAATCATATTTTAATCCACGTATATGATAGTTCCACATCTGTATAGTATATGAACATCTTTCATCCTGGATAAACAGAAATTATAATAAATTCATTGAGTGTGATTCATACTTTGCTCATATGCTTATTCAAACCTTAAAAAGCTAACCTTCATTCTGTCCTGATGAGGATTGTGTATCTGAAACATGTGCCACGAGCATAAAATGAACTCTAGTCAATTAGATACCAAACCAAAGTGTCACATTTATTTATTTATCTAAATAAATTCCTAGATAAGAATTTGTTGAAATTTTCAAGCTAACAAAAAACATCAAACAGGCTTTCCAACAAAGTTTCTCAAAACAATTTGTGGCTGGTAGCACCTAGGTTCTTTAGACTTGACTATTTTCCAAGTCAACGTCTGCAACCTGCATCACTGACAGTGGGGCATAGCATAGCAGAACACAAATGCTTTCCCTTACATAACCATCTGATTGTTTTTTCTCAAAAATTGGCCTTGGATTGAAATTACTAAAGCACTATATACCTCATAAAATTCCTTATTATCAGTCCAATGATGGCTGTCAGCGTCATGTAAAACTGTGGTAGCTAGTAGTTGATTATGAACATCTAAAATTTGTTTACTGATGGTTTCTACTAGATCTGATAGTTGTTTTAATAATCCCACAAAAACTTTCTTACTGTAAACATACAAATCAATATTTGAAAGATGAAATGTACAGTTGGATATAAATTTATTGGAAATTAAAACTAAATCAGAAAGTTTTTTAACCAATAGAAAATAATAAAATTCTTTTAATCTTTTCTTGAAATGTGTATAAACCTAGAGGAGACTATGTAAAACAATCAACCTAGTATGAGTATTTGGAAGTTTTCAGTCAGTCCTTGATATCACTGATGTTAATATTTGATAAATTGGTATAAAATGAGCCAACTACTTAACATCCAAATAAACAGTCAAGCTTAATTTTGCTGGTAATAGAACAAGGTAAACCAATAGACAGTGTGAAAAAAGTTAAGGCTCCCAGGAAGCCAAAGAACCAAAAGTTAAAATAGATAAGACCCTACTCACCCAGCGTCATCAGTACAGAGAACATTTTCACAATGAGTCAGTTGATTTCGACAGTATACAGCATTAGATAGAATTAAATATAGCTGTTTTACATTGGCTTTAGTGGGTATATCAACACATAACTGAAATTACATAAAATTATAGGATCATGTGATAGGAAGATGAATTTTAGGGGTTCTGTAGCACAGTTTTTTAGTGTTGGAGTCTTCACATATTTAATTTGCTTGGTTATGCCAAACAAATGGTGGCTGTGGGTTCTCAGTCGGCGCATGAAAGTCTGGTGACCCTGAATGAGTCATTTCTCCAAATTATTCCAATAGATTTAGCTGTAAACTGGTATGGGAAAGATTAATGCCAAGGTTTCGTCAAGGACCATTCCTTGCGCATCAAGGGAGACTCTACAAGGCAAGAAGCATAAGTCTACTGTCTTTCAACATTCAGGGGATCTTTAACATACACAGCCTGTAGCACTGTATATTCAAATTGATGGCTGTGGTGTCTCTAAAGCAGTGTCTTCCAATATCGCCCTTCCCATTCTGCCCCTACATTTTTCCCATCTGGCCCCTTCTCCATTTTGTCCCTTTTCCCATAATAGCTCTTGAAGATGAAGCCAAATACAATCAAACCCTACCTTAATAAGATGATCATGATAAAGTTTTAAACAAGTTGTTATGGTATCTATATAAGCAGCTCTAACAGCTGATAGACTTCCATCACAACCAGCTCTCGCAAATACCAGTAGGTTATCACACGTATCAAAAAACTCTTTTACAGACTGAAATATAAATACAAATACCAGTAGGTTATCACACGTATCAAAAAACTCTTTAACAGACTGAAATATAAATACAAATACCAGTAGGTTATCACACGTATCAAAAAACTCTTTAACGGACTGAAATATAAACACAAATACCAGTAGGTTATCACACGTATCAAAAAACTCTTTAACGGACTGAAATATAAATACAAATACCAGTAGGTTATCACACGTATCAAAAAACTCTTGAACGGACTGAAATATAAACACAAATACCAGTAGGTTATCACACGTATCAAAAAACTCTTTCAACGGACTGAAATATAAACACAAATACCAGTAGGTTATCACACGTATCAAAAAACTCTTTTACAGACTGAAATATAAACACAAATACCAGTAGGTTATCACACGTATCAAAAAACTCTTAAACGGACTGAAATATAAACACAAATACCAGTAGGTTATCACCGTATCAAAAAACACTTTAACAGACTGAAATATAAACACAAATACCAGTAGGTTATCACACGTATCAAAAAACTCTTTAACGGACTGAAATATAAACACAAATACCAGTAGGTTATCACCGTATCAAAAAACTCTTTAACGGACTGAAATATAAACACAAATACCAGTAGGTTATCACACGCACAAAAAACTCTTTAACAGACTGAAATATAAATACAAATACCAGTAGGTTATCACACGTATCAAAAAACTTTTTAACAGACTGAAATATAAACACAAATACCAGTAGGTTATCACACGTATCAAAAACTTTTTAACAGACTGAAATATAAACACAAATACCAGTAGGTTATCACACGTATCAAAAAACTCTTTAACGGACTGAAATATAAACACAAATACCAGTAGGTTATCACCGTATCAAAAAACTTTTTAACGGACTGAAATATAAATACAAATACCAGTAGGTTATCACACGTATCAAAAAACCCTTTTACAGACTGAAATATAAACACAAATACCAGTAGGTTATCACACGTATCAAAAAACTCTTTAACAGACTGAAATATAAATACAAATACCAGTAGGTTATCACACGTATCAAAAAACCCTTTTACAGACTGAAATATAAACACAAATACCAGTAGGTTATCACACGTATCAAAAAACTCTTTTACAGACTGAAATATAAATACAAATACCAGTAGGTTATCACACGTATCAAAAAACTCTTTAACGGACTGAAATATAAACACAAATACCAGTAGGTTATCACACGTATCAAAATACTCTTTAACGGACTGAAATATAAATACAAATACCAGTAGGTTATCACACGTATCGAAAAACACTTTAACAGACTGAAATATAAATACAAATACCAGTAGGTTATCACACGTATCAAAAAACACTTTAACAGACTGAAATATAAATACAAATACCAGTAGGTTATCACACGTATCAAAAAACCCTTTTACAGACTGAAATATAAACACAAATACCAGTAGGTTATCACACGTATCAAAAAACTCTTTTACAGACTGAAATATAAATACAAATACCAGTAGGTTATCACACGTATCAAAAAACTCTTTAACAGACTGAAATATAAATACAAATACCAGTAGGTTATCACACGTATCAAAAAACTCTTGAACGGACTGAAATATAAATACAAATACCAGTAGGTTATCACACGTATCAAAAAACACGTTAACAGACTGAAATATAAATACAAATACCAGTAGGTTATCACACGTATCAAAAAACACTTTAACAGACTGAAATATAAACACAAATACCAGTAGGTTATCACGCGTATCAAAAAACCCTTTAACAGACTGAAATATAAACACAAATACC